TACGTAATCTGGTGCATCTTTCTTTATACTAGGCAATAATAGACATATCTTATAAGCTTGTAGGCAAGAACTCGAGCTCCTTGATGATTCTCACACACACCTTCATGAACTTTAGTTAAGGCTTGAAGTGATTCGGAAGGTCTAAGACATCTGAGGTGGGAAAGTGCAATATTTCTTCGAAATAAGACTCCTCTAATGATATAGTATCTTTGTGCTCGAGACCTAATGCTTCTTTCAGCCCAGGGGTCAAATGGTAAATTCCCATTACTTATGAATTCGATTATTGGGTCTATCCAAGAGGGCTCTTGGTCAATGTCCATGACACTTGGCTTCTTATTTATGCTAGAATCTATCACCATCTTGATGTGTATCATTCTATTGAGTCTATCTATCCCCATGAAGACGAGCATAGATAATGCACCGACTTTCGAATTCTCAGCTTTGGAAATTTTAAGAATTTCGCAACTCTTAAATCTCTTTTGAGATCATGCACATTTAAGCAATACAAACTTACTATTTCTTCTTTTCTTTCAAAGGTACCTTCAATCTGTTCAACTACTAGCTGTGAGTCACTGAAAACTTTGATGTGTTCGAGCTCAAGGTTGTATGTAAGTTTTAGAGCTATGATAACAACTTCATACTCTGCTTCATTATTAGTGGCTTCGAATTCAAACATGAGCGCACATTAGATTTCTGTAGTTTTATTCGGGTTAGTTATGATGACCCCAGCTCCTGAGCCCGAACTGTTTGATGCTTCATCTACAAAGACTTTCCAAATTTCCAAGGTCTTGCTTGGGTATTTATCCTCTGGCCCTCCGATGCTTTGGGGTGAGTTCTGCTATAAAGTCGGTCAAAGCCTATGCTTTAATTGCAAGTCGCCCATTTCAACAATATTCCCGAGACATCTGGCTTCTGAAATATGTGTTTGAGGGGTTGATATGTGAGTACAACAATTAGATGATATTGAAAGTATTGACATAGCTTTCTGGAAGCTATTACCAAGGCAAGAACAAGTTGTTTAGCTAATGTATACCGAGTTTCTACATCAAGAAGTACTTTACTCAAATAATAGATGGGTCACTGGACCTTTCCACTTCCTTTACCAATACCTACTTACTGGATGTTGAAAAATGACCACGTATAACAACAAGGTATCACCAGGTTCCTGCTTAGATATAAAATGGAGGTGTTGCCAATGTTCTTTTAAGTTCCCGGATGGTTGAATCACATTCCTCATTCTAATCAAAACTTCGATTACCCCTAAGAACTTTGAAGAAGGGAAAGCACCTGACTGCTGTTCAGGATATGAATCTGTTTAAAGTCGTCAATCGACGTGTTAATTTTTGAATGTCCCTTTTGTTCTTGGGGGTTCAATAGAGACCAAGGTTTGGATCTTGTCAGGATTGGCCTCTATCCCCCTATGTGTGATCATAAAACCTAATAATTTGCTTGAGGCCACCCAAAATGCACATTTTGTTGGATTAACTTTCATCTTGTATTTTCGCAATGTAGCGAAGACTTCCTCAAGGTCAATAATGTGACAATTTAGTTGCTTGCTTTTAACCACCATGTCGTCCACATATGCCTCGATGTTCTTCCCTATCAAGTCAGCAAAGACCTTATTGTTAAGTCTTTGATATGTTGCTCCTGCATTCTTCAATCCCAAAGGCATGACCCTATAATAGTATATGGCTAAATCGGCCATAAACGAGGTCTTTTCCTGATCCTCCTTAGCCATGAAAAATTCGTGATATCCAGAGAAGGCATCCAAAAAGATATATAGTTAATGACATGAATTGCTGTCAACAAGGCTATCAATTCGGGGTAGATGGTAGCTGTCTTTTGGGTATGCTTTGTTTAAGTCAGTGAACTCGATGCAAACTCGCCACTTTCCATTGATTTTCTTGATAAGGACAGCGTTAGCGAGCTAATCGGGATATTGGACTTTCCAAATGGATTGTGCATTAAAGAACTTAGCAATTTCTTATCGTATGACCTCCCACCATTCTAGCGCAAATGGTCTCTTCCTTTGTTTGATAGGTCTTGCATCTAGATTTATATTAAATCTGTGTACTGCAACTTTGTGGTCAATTTCAGGTATATCTTCAAATTTCCAAGCGAATACGTCAATTTTGCGGGAGAGACAGCTAATAAGTTCAGCCATGGTTGTAGCATCAAGATCTCGAATAATGGTAACTTTTCTACCAGGCTCGAGCTCGACCTCCTCCACTTCTTCCACTAGGTCGAGTCTCCTATGATGCTCAAGATTCATATCGAGTTTCAAAAGTTACATGACGTCAACTTTGATTTCCTGAATGCTGGTAATGTAGCATTGTCTAGCTGTTGTTTGACCTCCCCGAACTACCCCAATCCCATTACTTGTAAGAAGTTTTATTACTTGGTGAAAAGTTGGGACAATGGCTTTAACTCTATTAAGCAATGGCCTTTTGAGTATGGCATGTAGGCTACGGGAGCATGGACTACCAGAAGGTTGTGATCTGTGTTACATGTTTCCCTTCTGATCCTAAAGTGAGAGGTAATCCAAGAATAGCTTATGGAATGATAACTCTACCTCTAAGCCCTTGAATGAAAGCTTTGACCGGCTTGAGTTTTTTGGCTAAAATACCCAACTGAATGAGAGCCTCACGGGATAATACATTAGCTGCGCTTCCATTATCCACCAGAGTTCTTCTTACCTCAAAATTTGTAATGATCGCTGATATAACTAAGGTGTCATCATGAGAAAAATATGTGCCTTCTAAGTCCTTTGATCCGAAAGTGGTGTCTTCCATATTACCAAGATCTGCATTTGAAATTGATGGATACTATCTGGTGTACTGTTTATGCCCACTACTCGAGTCCCTTCCTGAGGTCATCCCTCCGACGATGATATTAATGGTATCTGCTGTTGGTTGCTTATTTTCCCGATCTTCAGGAACTTTATCCTTATTTTGATTGTTCATTTAAAGCTTGTCATGGTTGACGTAAGTACCCAGAAAACCCCTCTTGATGAGAGCTTCAATTTCTCGTTTCAGGGTGAAGCAATATTCGGTCGTGTGCCCATAATTTTGAAGAAAATCGCAGTACTTGCTTTTATCATGAGTATTTGCGGAGCTTGCAACCTTGGGGGCCTTTTCAACTCTTTGAGGTCTTGATTTCCATCAAAATGTTAGACCTCGTGATGTTCAAACGAGTGAAGGATGCTGGATGGGGGTCTTACCTTGGCTTATCCCGAAAAGGATCCGAACGTAGGTTAGACTCATGCAGCCTTTTCTGCTCGGGCTTGCTTGATGATGGGGTATCTCTCTTTAGAAACATGGTTTCCTTCCTATTAATGTATTTCTCAGCTTGGGTAAGTAGGCCAGTTACTAATTTGGGAAGGGTCTTTGACAAAGATATCTTGAACGCTTCTCATCCTATGGCATATGTTAAGGCAGATACAGCGACAGTGCTATGTAGATTGAGAATCTGAAATCTTTCTTTATTAAACTTTGTCGTGAAATTGTGAGTGTTTCATTGGATGTTTAAATGCAGAATGAACTGATCTTCAATATCTTAAACAAAGGCATCGAGGTGTATCCTCGTTGCCCTTCTAATACTTAAGTTTTAGAGAGAATTTATGTGAAAGGTTATATACTGGAAATTATGTAAAAACCTACTTGAATAATGAACTTGGTCATGTATTTATAGATGTTAGTGATTGAGTTCTATAAAGATCCAACCACAAGTAGTCCTTATCATTATCATGTAAGATGTTTGTGTTATATTAAAAATGTTTTGTTTCAATTTGAATCAAACTTGTGGTAGTTTGGCAGTTTGGACTTGGATAAAGGTTATGGAGAGTCAAATCAGAGTTAGGTTAATGTTTCTAAAAGGTATGATATAAGAACAATGTAATCGTTATTATGGAGCATGACCCCGACCTATAAAGGCTAACCTCAACGTTTAGCCCGATCTTATTCAATGGATATTTTGATGGAGGTGAGCTCGGGCTTCTAAGCTCAAGTTTGGGGGCGAGGCCATATTTTCTCGTATCAAGTATACCCATCAAGCTTTCATTAGAAAAACACTTCAAAAGATTCCTTAACAAGCCCATCCTTTATATAGCCCAAGATCAAGTAATTATAGGTTTGTCGAGGCAATTCATCAAACAC